GAATCTGGTGTTTGTTTGATGCCTCCACAAGCTAATTTAGCATATTGTGCTGGCAGAAAATTGCTAATTTTGGTTTGGGTTTTTGTCACTGTTATTCAGTGCAGAACACAAAAGCACAGGGAGGCAAAGCCACTTGCTAGGCCAGAGGGGCATGGCTTTCAAGTCTTTACCAAGGCCAGTCTAGTGGACTGACCACAAGAATTCATGTGTTGCTTAAAATATTGAAACGGATTCCAACATTTCAGTGTCAGAAACAAGAGCATTCTGATGAATTGGGACATTCATTTTCTTTTCCTCCCTCCTTTCCATATTTTTAATCTCTTTCTCTCTGTTGGTATACTAAATATGTTTTGAGGTTTCAGACAAATTTGGAACATTTTAGTTTTTGATTTTAATTAGTAGACATCAGAGGACCTGACCCCTTTTATAATAACCGGCAGGGTTGAATAATTGAGGCCTGAGTAGTCAAGGTCAAAATATATTGCTTAATGTAAACCTAACAGATATCTGATACAAACTCTATACTCCACTAATGTGTATGATATTAAACTACAAAATCTTTAGAACCCAAAGATCCATTTTTACTCTGTGAACAAATTAAACAAGATACACTTTTTAAAATGAAAATTATCCATAGCATGGTTGCCTGACATTGCATGTCGTAGCAGTGCATCTGCTCATGTTTAGGTCTGTTCACATTAGCAATAATACTCAGGATAAAGCTGCTTCTGTCTTTAATACAGGATCTGTTACGTCACGGGAGGTTCAATGTCTGCAGTACAAGCACAATTACATAACGATGCATCACCCACAGTATCTATTAGTGTACATTAGTCAGCAAGGACGAGAGGCGTATGCTTAGAGGGATCAATGTTCCTGTTAACACACTGCATCAGAGATGTGAACGGACACCCCCATGAAGATGGGTCCAAGGAGCAGGTGGCCTGGTTTCTTAAGGCATTGTTCTCATTCTTCTTAAAAGTAAGAATGAGATCATCTAGGTTTGGTTATGCTAATCTGTTTTCAGAGATTGATACAGTTTGTCAGAGCAGGCTGTTTTACCTTATAAAAACTCTTAACTCGGGGTGCTTCTTCTGCAGTAATGGATTTTAGGAGGGAAAAGGGAGAAATTGGTCTGCACACAGAGCTACACAGCAGCACCAGTTCATGGGACTGCTTACAACACTACAGCTAGTGCATTTGGAGACTTAAGGGGAACACTGGAAGCTAAATAAGTGTGCTTGCATATGCACAAGCCAGTTTTTTAACTAAAAGCTTGAACATAAGTAGATAAGGTATTTTCCAACCTTACTGATCCTATGATTATTTCTACAAAGCTGGTTCCTACCTCTAACATTCAAATTACCTGCTTCAGTCAAGTAACTATTTTTCTTCAGAGTTTTAGATAGAATAAACTAGAAATTATGTACTTATATTAGAAAAGAATAAAAGGCAGGAAGATCCAAATTGTGATACAAATACTATGGGTCTGGTTCACAAGGAACGGTTCAAAAGAGGGCAAGGTGGGGTATTTAATTGCTGCTGAATGGCCAACCAACCCCCATCAAGGTGAACACTGAGTAGTCATCCCATAACTTCATCTTCAGTGATCAGCTCACCAGATCCCTGTCCTAAAGTGTATTTTTGTTTCAATGAACTTTTCTTCCCCTCCTCTAGCTCTGTTTGGAAACTCCTTGGAGCAGTGCAGTGAGACATAAAGAGCACTATTAGCCTGCTCCCTGCTGCTTTGGTTCTTGGCCTGGTGTGTTAATATGGACTGAAATCAGGGCCTGTTCAAATCAATACGCCACACTCTGAATGGAATGTCTGAAGGCAAACCGCCCATCTACAGTTTTTAATGTAGTGGTCACCACCAGCAGAGAGGCTGAGAGGTGCAGCAGTAGGCTCTGCATCTGCCACAGATAAATCAGATAAGGAAAGTGAATTAAGAGCTCAGTGCTCCCCATCCATGGGGGAACCTGGGGCGAGCCAGTACTGCAGAGAGGAGAGGCAATGCTATGAACAGGCATCTTTAGAGGCTGCTTGTCAGACTGCACACAGCGCCAGGAACTGATTGCAGATTGTGTTTTAAACACTGCCCAGTGACAGAGAGGTGACTTGGTTTGAGAGATTGTGCTTGAGCAGTACTCTTCCCCAGGGCATCTCACCCAACTGAGGCAATCAGCTGGCCCAGGCATTTACTTTGAAATTCACTTCCTCCCTGCTTTTGTTGAGAAAAAGCCATTATACAACAGAAAAGAGGAATTAAACCTCAGCACATTTGCTACTCCTAACACTCGCTCTATACAAAACTAATGCTTCTTCTAGAACCTGAATGATGTACAGTAAAACCAGAAGAATTAACATTTCATAAAGCTGAAAGAAAAAACTTTCCAATACAGTGCAGAAACGACACACATCCCTCATATGTTTACTCTTCACTTTAGCAGCTGTAAATGCCATTCTTCTTTTTCATTTTGCCACACATGCACTTACACCCTTTTCTTTCCATTTTTATGTAAATGTTAAAGCAAATTGCAATTTCTGAATAGCCTTCTAAGTCCTTCCTCTGGGTCTGTGACATGACCTTGAAGCACCTTTCCACCTCTTACTTTCTGTGTTTTACCAGTGCAGTCCTGAGATAAGCAGGGGAGCTTTCTCTTCGAGTGAGGTTTAAGTGTGAGCTATTACTCAGCTAAAAATCCAGAGGGAATGTTGTCAGCAGAGCTCTTTCCCAGCTCTGGGACAGCATGTGGGCAATGAGAAAGTAAGGCTGATAAGAGAGCAGCATCTCACTGGCTATTTAGCTGAAACGTTTATTGTAAAATCTCTCAGTCAATGAGATTATGAGCAGCTCATGATCCCACTGGTCTGAGGAATTCCTATTTGGAATAGGCCAGCACAGCACAGCAAGTGGTACCGATGCTAAACCAATGCCCCAGGAGCCCAGGCCTAAATCCTAAATGTGGCTGATAGTCACTTTAACAAACACCTGGTATCTACCACAGATCAGGTGAATGTAATATAATTAGTAACCTGCTACATCACCAGAGAAAACTAATGTCAGCAAAGAAATCATGCAGTTTGAAAGATCTTATATAACAAACAAGTCAGGTCCCAAAATCTCAGCAGAGATGTAATAATCCTCTTATTTATATATCTCCTTTTGGAGGGGATGAAGTACTCTTAACATTTCAGTACTGGAAACTTCCACTGATGATGCAAGTTGGAAGAAATATACTCAGTGTCCTAAAGGACTGAGGCAGCTGAGCCCCTGCTGAACCACAACAGGCGAGGTAATGCTGTCAGGCTGCACTATTCACACAGAGGGTACTGAGCAATCCAGGTGCAGCTGGTGGCTACAGGATGCCCTTTAAGGAATGTTCTCCAACCTTGAAATGAAAATTAAGAGAGAAATAGCACCTATCTCTCTAGCTGTGGGAGATAATTTCCAGAAGGATTTTGCATTTGGGATGTGTTTAGCAGAGATTTATCATCTTAAGGAAACGGTGGGCTT